ACTCCATCAAAAAACTGCTAGAATTAACAAATGAATTCAGTAAAGTTGCAAGATACAAAATCAACACATAAAAATCTATTGTTGTGTTTCTTTACACTAATTATGAGCTATAAGAGAAATTAAGAAAATCCTATCTGTCATCGCATTAAAAAGCATAAAATACTTAGGAATAAATTTAACCAAGGATGTAAATGAACTGTATATTGAAAACTACAAGTTACTGATGAAATAAATTGAAGACAATGCAAATAAATGAAAAGATATTCCATACCCATGGATTAGAAGATTGATATTGTTAAAATGTCTATACTACTCCAAGCAGTACACAAATTCAGTGGACTCTCTATCAAAATTCCAATAGCATTTTTCACAGAAATAGAATAATCCTAAAATTTGTATGTAGCTACAAAAGATGCCGAATAGCCAGAGCAGTCTTGAGAAAGAAAAACAAAGCTGGAGGTATCCACATTCCCTGATTTCAAACTATACTACAAAGCTGTAGCAATTAAAACAGTATTGTATTGACATGAAAAATAGACACACAGATTAATGAAACAGAATAGAGAGCCCAGAAATTGACCATGCATATATGATCAATTAATTTATGGCAGAGGAGCCAAGAATATACAATTGAGAAAGGACAGTTTCTTCAATAGTGTTGGGAAAATTGGACAGTCACTAGCAAAAGAATGAAACTGGACCACTTTCTTATACCATACACAAAAATTAACACAAAATGGATTAAAGACTTAAGTGTAAGACCTGAAACCATAAACCTCCTAGAAGAAAACAGGTGGTAAACTCCTTGACATAGGTCTTGGTGATGATTTTTTGAATCTGACATCAAAAGCAAAAGAATCAAAAGCAAAAATAAACAAGTGGGACTGTATTGAACTAAAAAGCTTCTGCACAGCAAAGGAAACCATCAATAAAATGAAAAAATAACCTACCAAATTGGAGAAAGCAATTGCAAATCATATATCTAATAACTCTAATATCTAAAATATACAAAAACTTAGACAACTCAATAGCAAAAAAACAAAAACAAAAACAAAACAAAATGAAACAGAAAAAAAAATCCAGTTAAAAAATGGGCAGAAGACTTGAAGAGACGTTTTTCCAAGACTTACAGAGGGCCAATAAACACATGAAAAGATGCTCAACATTCTCCCAATCTCATTTTGATTTACCTTTTCCATTGTTAACAAACATGAAAGCTCCCTCTATGAATTTTAGGTAAAGAATTTTGTCTTTAGCTACTTCTTTAAGTATAGAAGTAACTATGCAAGTAACTTTGAAGTAACTTTTATAAATTATACTAACATTCCCTTTCTCTGGTACATAAAACTCTTTAACTGCTGCTAAAAAGGGATTTTTCAAACAAATAACTTTCAGTCAAAAAGATTAATAATTTAGGTTACAAGTCAGACCTCTAGCAGACCATGCATACATAGATTTCTTTCTTGTACTCTTTTCATCTGGAATAAGATCTCTTACAGAAATGTCAAAAAGTATTTTTGGATTCCCACATAATATTAACAATGGTTTTCCTTTTGGTATCCTTTGATTAAGGCATTGTGAAATGATAACATCTTAATATAATTTAGTAGTACTTCTAAATAAATTTTCATTTTATTAATCACAATTCCACATATATGAATTTTATAATTGCTTAATGAGATAAAAATCATTTGGAGTTTAGATAGGTATGAGAACACTTGCAGTTACTCCTTGACCAGTTCATGACATTTGTTATTACATTAGCATGATACTCTCTAGCTCCATCCTTATTGCTGCAAATGTGCAAGATCTCATTTTTTTTTGATGGCTGAGTAATATTACACCATATATATATATATATATATATATATATATATATATACACACACATATATACCACATCTTCTTTATCCATTCATCTATCATTGGACACTTGGTTTGCTTTCATATCTTGGCTATTGTAAATAATCCTGCAATAAACTTAGGGGTACATATATCTTTTCAAATTACAGTTTTCATTTTCTTTGAGTAGATACCTAGTAGTGGAATTTCTTCTGAGTGGTTTATAATTTATTAAAATTCAGACAAAATTTCACTATGCATTATTTACCAGTGAAGTAATTTTATTTGAAGAATATGTTAAGATAATGCCACCATATTTGTCTAAAGAAATATTAATTGCTCAGATTTCATTTTTTAAAAAGATTTTGTTTATTTGTTTAGAGAGAGAGAGTGTGTGTGAATGGGGGTTGGGGTAGAGGGAGAGCGAGAGAGAGAAAATCAGCAGACTCCATACTGAGTTCAGAGCCTGGGGCAGGTCCCAATTTCACACCCCAAGATCATGACCTCAGCCGAAATCAAGAGTCGCCACTTAACCGACTGAGCCATCCAGGTGCCCCATGATTTCCTATTTTAGGATAAAAAGAACAAATGGGCATTTCCTATTTTAATATGATTTCCTAAAGAGAAGGCATACAGTGATGTTCACATTCTCCTCCTCCATAACTCATCTCCATTTCTAGTCTTTCATCTTCGAAATGATAAAAACTGTAATAGAATTGACTATCATGGTTTCTAACTTAATACCTGGGATTATCAATACCTCCTTTCTCCCCCCCCAAAAATCCATAATGTCATATCGTTCCTTTTAAAAGGCAGTCCCTTCTCTGTTTCTTTGGTCTCCTCCTTGGACACTCCAACATTTCTTCCTCACAAAGTTTTCTATATTTTCAACATGACCTCCATCTGCATGATACTGGCTTATCTTTCCTTCTACAAAACTCTCACGTGCATTGTGCTGTATCATGGTCATCAATTTTGTGTTTCTTGGCCTTTACCTAACCTAACTCAGCATTTTCATACCAAAGTCATTATCTTTTCCAAGTCTCTTCTTCCCATCTTTCATGGGTACTTTCCTAGTAATCTGTTTTTCAGAAAATTGTCTCAATCTTTTCCTTCTTCCTTCAATAACCAAGTCTTTAAAAAATGTTCTCTTCAAAATCCTTTTTATATCAGTTCTGTCCTTCTTTTCCTCATGCTTTGTTTCTGCAACTACTATTTTTTTTTAAAGATTTTATGTATTTATTTGACAGAGAGAGAGATAGCGAGAGCGGGAACATGAGCAGGGGGAGGGGCAGAGGGAGAAGCGGGCGCGGGGCTCGATCCCAGGACCCTGGGACCATGACCGGAGCCGCAGGCAGACTCTCAATGACTGAGCCACCCGGGCGCCTCTGCGACTACTATTTTTTTCCTTTCTTTGTCTCTTTTGTACATCCCTACCAAAGTAATGTTATTCAACATTCTTTTGCTAATTTCATTTCTCTTCCCTCAGTTTACAGTTCCTTAATATTTTTTACCAAACATGGTAAATTCATTATAATGCTTTTAGGACCTTCTATAATCTGACATTATTCTCCATTTTCTCATGAAGTTTCTAATATATCAGAAAATATTCAGGCATACTACTAAGTTTGATACATTCTGTGTTATTGAGGAACGTGAAATGCTATGGAAACACGGAAAATGGTGTGTCAATATAGTCTATCTCAAGGAATTAAGTAAGGCTTGTTTTTGATTGATAGGTTGGCGCATAACATTTGATTAAGAATAGAAAAATTGACTTGGAAATATAATTTGCCAAATTAATGCCCATAGGTATAATTAACTGTAGTTTCAATCGATAAGTGATAGGACTTGAGATTTTTATGTTATTTTCCACTTCCAGGTTAGAAACCTTAAGACCTATATTAACTTTAAAAAATATAATCCTATTAATTAGTTCTTAGTTTTCCTGAGGACTAAGGATAGTTAGTGTGATAGCAGATTAGATGTTTATCAAATCTTTATATTCTAAACAATATTGTTTCTATCTGCTAGAAACCTTTCTTAGAGAATCTTTTAACTCTTGAATACTTACAAAAATACAAGCCAACAAACGCTATACCTTTCAGGAGCCACTGAATGCAACTGATGGAATATATTTTTCAATGTTTTAACTGAGGATTAATACTAATATACTACCTGCCATATTTCCAAGGCAAGAGAAAAGAGAGCCAAGTGTATCTGTATTAGGATAACATATTCATTAATTCTTAGTGGTGGTCAAATCTGAGAATAAAAAAGTGCACTTGGCCCCATATGTGAATTGGACTCACAGAGTCAAGGCACACCTGTTTCCTACATGGCTGAAAGTGAGTCTCCCTTAACATCATGTAAGACTTTTTCTGACCCAGTGTGTTATTGGTAGTCAGTGCCAGTGGGTCATATTTGCCCATCCCCTCTTCTGAAAATATAAAGGAAGGAAGGAAGAGACAAAAGGGAAAGGCTGGGAGTGTGGCAAGTGTAAAGAAAAGGAGGGATATAAATTAATGCAATTTTCCTTTAGGATCTTACAATTATTTGACTTAAATTGATATATAACTAGTTAGCTTTCCATAAATGGTTAATATTACCTATAGCAGAATATTATTCTTTCCTTGAAAAGCTGAAATCATTTGTTTCCCTGAAATAATCAGGGATGCTCTGTCTTTATCTTTTCTATTAGATTTTGTTTTTTAATTATGAGGCTTATCAGAAAATTGCTTTATATGTTCTATTCTTGCTCAGGTATAATTCTTGATGGGGTAAAATTCAGTTCTATAACTGTCTAAAATAAAGCTGAAAAATGGCATAACTAATTAGAGAGCTTTATGGCTTTCTCTGAGATACTACAAAATAGTTTTAGACATCTATAGTATTTAAACCAGATCTAAATTGTGTTTTTAAACCTTGGTTTAAATGTCTGTTTACTTTTAAATATTAAATATTTACAAACATCTCCAACTACATTCACTAATCCTAACATAAAAGGTATGTCAGTATTGTTTTTTCTACTCTTTGAGCTTGAAAGAGACCTGAGGAGCACTGAAACTTACTGGAGAGTCATATTGTCAAAAAGTATTGTTTGCAGAACGTTTCACAGGGGTAAAAAGCAATTTTAACTCCCATTTCTGTTTCTGTAGGTATCTTCTCGGTACTCAGCTTGGCCTCCGAGTGTACAACACTTGCTGCTGAACTTCCCAAAGTATCCTACGTGAAGGCTCTTGATGTATGGCTCATTGCTTGTCTTCTTTTTGGGTTTGCTTCACTGGTGGAGTATGCTGTCGTCCAGGTGATGTTGAATAACCCCAAAAGAGTTGAAGCAGAAAAAGCCAGAATTGCTAAGGCTGAGCAAGCAGATGGGAAAAGTGGAAATGCTGCTAAAAAGAATACTGTGAATGGTACAGGGACTCCTGTTCACATTAGCACTTTGCAGGTAAGAATAAAACTATACAGGGAAATTATTTCCCCCATCCTTTCTGCAGTATCAGGAGAAAGATACTTTTCTGTGTGTGTGAAGTTTTGATAGAATTGGTATTCTGTCATTTCTCTTTCACAGAGGAAAAGGAACTGTACACAGCATACTTTTTTGGGAAAGAAATAAAAAAACACTTAGGTTAAATACTAATTAAGAAAAAGAAATCAACAGCTTATCAAATTTCTAGAAGACTTTCCATGGAGTTTCATGGTACATTTCTGCTTTGATGGCTACCATTGAATGTGGAGATCTTGCCAAAGTATTGACCTTCCTCCTGTTCCTCACTTGATAAGCCATCACTGAGAGGCCAGAGGACTGCCGGGAGCACTGATCTTCTGTCATCATTGAAGACCTTAGCGGAGCCCATGCTCTTGATAAAACCCCCTACTATCCCCCACCGAGTTAGAGAGCTACACACAGAGTATGTTAGGCAGGCTACTTATTTATCGGATGCCTGGCTCCTAGAGAAACTATACCCAGAGTCTGGGATCTGTCCAGCCCAGTGGTGAGTGCTTACAGAATTGGACCTTGCTTTATCACTTGATCATAGATCTAAGAATAATAGGCAGTGCCTTTAGATTCTGATAAATTCTGGGGCAAGAGTCTATTTCATGGATTATGAATTGCCTCCTCTGCCTATATTATGGCCCCATCTTAATGGGGCCATTAGTCTATTTGTTAATTACCACCATATCCCTTACCTAGAATGTTAGACAAGTATGCCACATACACATTTTTAAATGCAAAAGCAGGCAAACTGTTTTTATGTGGTGCTGCCTGAAGCTAGATTTTTTAGAAAAATTAAAAATTTTTTTTTGTTCTGGTTGTCATTAAATTCATTTTCTGCATCTACAGCCAAGACTCTCTGCAATGTTAGTTGCTACTTTGTTGGAAGGCTTTTCAGGCCTTATAAATCGTTATACCCTAAGTCCCTTTATGAAGAATAAGTATACAATTTTCATTAATACAGAGCTATCATGACCTTAGGGAGGTCATATATTTGGCATGTCTTTTTCCATCCTTTTCCATCCAGCATGTTTATATCATTATGTTTGAAGTGAGTTTCTTGTAGACAACATATATTGTTGATTTATGACTTTTAATCTGCTCCACCACTCTCATGTTTTAATTGGTATACTTAGATCATTTAACTTTAATATAAGTATTGATATATTAGGGCTTCAGTCTATTGTTTTATGTTTCATTTTCTTATCTCCCTCTTTTCTGTTTCTTGCTTTCATGAAGGTTACTTAAACATTTTATAGAATGACATTTTGAGTTTTTTATATTGTTTTTAAGTGTATCTCTTTGTTTATCTTGTTTATTGGTTGTTCTAGGTACTAATTACATGTACATAACTTATCACGGTCTACTGGTGTCATTATTTTGCCAGTTTGTGTGATGTGTAGAAACATTACATTCTTTAACATTCCTTTACCTTTCTGTTTATGATAGAATTGTAAATATTTCTTAGAACCTAATTAGAAAGTGTTATACTTTTTGTTTCACTATCAAACATAGTTTAGAAAACTGAGAGGGAGAAGGAAAACTTATTGTCTTTATATATCTTTTTGCTTACCATGTTCTTGCTTTTATTCTGATATGTCTTCCATTGTTTACTTTTAGAGAATTTCCATTATCCATTACTTTGGGTGGTGCTGCTGGTAACAAATTGTTCTAGTTTTCCTTCATCTGAGGAAGTCTTGATTTCCCCTTCATTTCTGAAGGATAATTTCACTAGGTACAGGATTCTGAGTTGACAGTTCCTTTAGCACATAAAAAACATTGTGCTACCTCCTTCTGGCCTCTGTAGCCTCTGATGAGAACCTCACTTAATTCATATGGTTTTTTCCCCTAAGGGTAAACTGTCATTTTTCTCTGGCCACCTTCAAGACTTCTTTTGGTCTTTATTATTCAGAAGTTAAATTCTATGTTTTGGTGTGGATTTCTTTGCGTTTATCCTGTTTGGGATTTGTTCAGCTTGTTTAAAAATGTAGACTTAAAGGGGCGCCTGGGTGGCTGTGTGGGTTAAACGTCTGCTTTCAGCTCAGGTCATGATCCCAGGATCCTGGGATCGAGTCCCACCTCGGGCTCTCTGCTCAGCAAGGGACCTGCTTCTCCTTCTGCCCCTCTCCTGATCGTGTACTCACTTGCACGTGTGTGCTCTCTCTCTCTCAAGTAAATAAACAAAATCTTAAAAATTTTTTTTTAATTTTTTTAAATGTAGGCTTATGTTTCTTGGTAAATTTGGAGAGTTTTCAGCTATTATTTTCTCTAGTACCTTTTCAGATCTGCTTTCTTTCTCCCATCTTTCTGAGACTCTGATGACACAACTGTTAGATCCTTTGTTATAGTCCCACAGATTCCTAATGCTTTTCAATTTTTCTAGTTGATTTTCTCTGTTTTGTTGAGACTGGATAATTTCTTTGGTTATGTGTTCTAATTCACTGATTCTTTCCTCTGCCCCTTCCATTTTTCTGTTGAGCTCATCCACTGAGATTTATATTTTGCTTAATGTATTTTTCAGTTTTAAACCTTCCATTTGGTCTGTCTTTTTTCTTTCTTTCTTTCTTTCTTTCTTTCTTTCTTTCTTTC